ACAGAAATAGCTGTGCAAAATGAGAAAAGTTGTGTTAAAAAAATTCTTAATAAAAATGACTTCAACAACAACAACAACAAAATTGAGGCTGCCCTAGAGGAGAGATAAAGAAGATATTGTCTGCCTCGAGAAATGGTCAGGCTTTAAAAGGGCTGAGGCAGATCTGGGTCAAAGCCTCTCTGTGGGTCAGAGGAAGCTCGCTTACATGAGGGCAAGAGCCAGACAGTTTCTTGGATTTATCACAAGGATCTGTGATTGATAAAGTCAGTCAGACTGCACTGAAAGGATTTGTTTTATACATATGCATTCCTAGTCCCTAAGTGGGGCAATTCGAGGGCAGAATATGAGGCCTCTGAGCATTAGAAGTCTGGGACACCCTCAGCCCCTCTCTCAGCCACACATGTGCTTCTAGGCTCTGTCCTCTACCCTCCTCACACCCTAGCCTTGCCCAGTGGTCAAACACTCACACACACATTCTGTCCTTTCAGAGTTACTATGCTCTGAATCAGAGGGTGGGAGGCAGATCTGGCAGATACCGAGCCTCTGGGAACCCATAAGACCGGTGTGACTTCCGCAACAGTTTGCTGCCCTGGCACTGTCATGGCCTGAGGAGAGACAGATTCCTCTCATGTGAGGTCAGAGGTGGGGCATGAGGGCATCCGTGCCCATGTGAGGGGGCTTTGTTAGTTCTAGTGGGGTGAGGAAGGAGAGAAGTGGGGAGACAGGCAGAAGTTGCCTCTCAGAGAGGAAAAAAGAGAGCAAGCTGAAGCAGGAAGCTGAAGATCAGCCTGCCTCAGCAGATGGGGTAGGGAGTGGGTGTGACTTGTCTCTTACAGAGACAGAACAATCATTACAGTGGGGGTGCTTTCTCTGCTGTAGAAAATAGTACGGTTCAGGCTGTACAGGGGAGCAGTGTGAGATCATGCATGGCTCCGGGAATAAAGGAGGCCTGGGCAAATGTGTTCTAGAGACAAACTGATCTTGTAAGTCTTTTTAAAGCCTGAGCCCCAGGAACGTGGGGAATTCAGCATTGTAAACCTATCTGCTTAAGACTAAGATTAGATGTTCATCAGGGCAACTATGGGGAAGTGGGATACTTCTCAAAATTAAACTGAAATGTAGTTTTATCTTTACGTTATTTTACTATTTATTTTTTTATTAAGTCATAATAAGAGAATGTTAATGAATAAACTCCATAAAATAAGCTGTTAGCCAGGTATTGAAGATAGAGAAGCCACAACTCAGCTTTTATTTTTCTGGCACACATATGGAGATGGGTTAACACTGAAATATTAGAAAGTACTTATATCTAGGTGTGAGTTTTGTGCCATTCTTTCCTTCAGTTACTATTGATAGTCTCTTAGTGCATGAGGTGACTTTGGTAGGCTCTTGGGACAGTGGAAAGCACACCAGCTGTGCTTCTGTTCTTATATAGCTTGTTTTTCAGAGGGAAAAAATATAATAATAAAAACTGAATAAGATCAAATAAAGTAGCTAAATTTTTTATTGAGTTGATTAAGGCAGAAAATGATCAAACAGCTAGGGTAGTCAGCAGAGGACCTTAGAGACCCAACATTTCCACCAAAGCCTGAATGTATGTCGAAGTCCAGGAAAGGAGACTCTTGGCAGAGGAAGAGCAGGTGGCCAGCCCTGAGGTAGAGCATTTTGGATGTGCCCTAGGGACTGAGGACCTGGAGTGAGACTGTAGCACACCTGTCAAAGAGAAGGTCACTTGTGTCAAGGTTCCAGAGAAAGACTGGTCAGATAAGCCAGGGCCTTTTGATTATAGCAGTGAATCTGAATCTTATCAGATATGGGTTGGGCCACCATGAGGACTGGAGCAGGGCAAGCTAAAATACCCGCTCTAAATGTTTTCTAATCTATGTTTAGAAAATGTTCTAAAGCCAGGTGTTGATGGCACACGCTTTTAATCCCAGCACCCAGGAGTCAGAGAAAGGTGGCTCTCTGAGTTCAAGGCTAGCCTGGTCTAGTGAGTTCCAGGACAGCTAGAGAAACCTTGTCTAGACCTCTTCCTCCAAAAAAGAAAATATTCTGAGATGGCAATAGGTGATTTGATTGTGAGCTTGTATGGTGTGCATTTCCAAAAAATAGTTACAGAAAGCATTGATTATCATCATGAAATGCAATCCATACACCATATCTAGTTTCTGCAAATTCCTTTCTCCTTACACGGAGTGAGCCAGGAGCTTTTAGGAGTATGGCATCCTTGGGAACTTCTATAAATACAGCTTTGGGTGTGATGTGGAGGCAGGGAGTCCCTGGCATACAGAGGGAGGAGCAATGTAAGCCACCCACTTCCCTCTACTTGACCCTCCCCAAGGCATGGCTTATGTCCTCACAGAGGGAATTCTGATATGTGCGGAGTACACATGGGCTCCTAGCCCAGGAGAATGCCCGCCACATGCCCCTTTGAAAGTGATTCCTCACTGTCCGGCCATAGATTTCCCAAACACAAAGACTGTCATTCTGTGCCCTGGGAAATGAGTCCCCAATCTAAAAATTAGGTCAAACCCATTGAGATTGAAAGGTACGTTTGTCTGAGGTTACAAAGTAGGATACCTTTCTCACCCCCTGCTCCTCTGCTGTGCCCAGGTCAGATGATCTCAACCAGAAGTGGATGAGCCCTCACACCCTCCACGGTCAGACAGAATCTGGAAAAGGAGCCCTGGGGCGGGGGTTGCTGCTTAAGATATCTGGTGAGTCAGAGAGGAGCTGGAGTTGACCAACTGGAGCGGCGAAACCAGTCCACCTCCTCTACCCTGGGAACTAGGCGAGGCGGGAATATAAAGGCCCTGGTCCCTGCTCAGCTCAGAACTCCACTGGAAGCCTCTGCCTCTCCCCTCTGTGAGTCTGGTGAGTGTTGGCTGCTGGGACATCAGTTGTGGCTGCAGTCTTCCAACAGGCCAGAACATGGCTAGGGGTGTCTACTCAAGCTGGGGGCGGATATTGCTGTGGGGTAGATTCAGTTGGGTTACTTGTCCTCCAAGGGGCGGGTGAGTGTGCAGAGGGAAACAAGCTATAATACTTTCTGTGTGGAGAAACCCAGGCAGAACAGGGGGCTAGAATCCTATTAGACACCCAAGACTTTGTCGTCACAAGCTCCATTTTCCCCTAACACTCCTGCAGCCCTCACTCCTCACCCCTCTGGCCCTGGGGGCTACAAATCACTTTCAGAAGATCAAGGAGGAAAGAAGCTCTCAGGTTGAGCAGGCCAACCTGACAGTTTTTCAGAGAAAAAAAAATCTGAAACCCAGAGAGACTGAGTTGCCCAGAACTCCAGTGTTTCTGTGGGAGCCAGACCGGGGATGAGTTAGATGGCTCCAGCCTGGGGCTGCTGCAGTGGCCTCCCAGTCCCCTTCCCAGGGTCCTCTGTGACAGTACAGGCGCTCAACTTTCCAGGGTCTTCTGTGAGGTCTTTCTTTTTCAAAGGTTTCCTTCGCACTGTGATGAAATTTCAGAAATCATCTTCCCAGGACCCAAGGAAAGACTAGACAAAAGCAAGTTAATTAATAACCACTCCATTCTTGCAGAACCTCTTTGGAGAAAGACCCCTCCGTTGAGCTCCTAGAAGAGCTTTTCTGTGCGCTGACCATTCCCACCCTTCTTTTGCCTGCAGGAATCAAAGCTGTGGAAGTTGAAAAAGGCCCTATTCAAGAGTAAGGTTGCCAAGAACCAGGGCCACTATGTATATCTTGCGTATTCAGTGGTTCATCTGTTTCCTTTGCCTTCAGTCCAACCTCTGATCCTTCTGTTTTTCAGCTTGGTCTATAGAAGCTTCCGAGATGTCCCAGCAACACACATCACCAGTGACTGCCCCAGCTGTGGCTCAGGAATCCCTCAAGACTGTGTGCCCTCCAGCTCATACCCAGCAGGAACAAACAAAGCAGCCAACTTCACAGCCTGCACAGTGCCAGAAGGTATTCTCTGAGCCCCAAGAGAAGGGCTCCACGCAACAGGAGGAGAAGGGCACAAGTCCTGTGACGGGGCTGCCTGAGCAAGAATGTGAGCCGCAGCAGCAGCAGCATCAGGAACCACAAGGGCAACAGCTGTCTGCGAAAAAGCCACAGCAGGAGATACAGGGGCAGGAACTGCATCTGGAGAAGCAGCTGCCATCACAGGACCCACAGGAGCTGCAGCTGGGGCAGCACCAGCAAGAGCGAGAACTGCATCAGCATCAAGAGCTACAGGAACAGGAGCGGTGCCTGGGACAACAGCCACAGCCGCAGCAGCAGCAAGACACCCTGAAACCACAGGAACTGAGTCTGAGACAGCACCAGAAGGAGAAGAAGCAGGATCCAGAGCTGTACCTGGGTCAGCAGCAGAAAGCTTCTGAGGAGCAGGAACTGATCCCAGGAGAGAAGCAGCAGGAGCCACAAGAGCAGGAGCTGCGACTGGGGCACCCACAACAGCAACAGCACTCACAGGAGCTGCATCTGAGACAGCATCAGAAGCAGAAGCTCTGTGAACCAGAACTGCACCTGGGAAAGCAGCAAGATCGGGAGTCACAGGACCCAGACGCGCACCTGGGAGAGAAGCAGCGTCAGGAGTCACAGCAGCCTGAGCTGCACCTGGGAAAACAACGGCATCAGGAGTCACCGGAGCCTGAACTGCACCAGAAACAGAAGGAGAAGCGGCAGGAGCCTGATCTGCACCTTGGAAAGCAACCGCAGCAAAATACAGAGCACGAAGATTCTCAAGGAACACAAAGCTTAGGTCAGTCCCTTAAGCAAGAGAAAGCCCCAGGGGAACAGCAGCTGGATGACTCACACTTAGAACAGGAGAAGGAACTCTTGGACCAGCGACGGGATCAAGACCTAGGAAAGAAAGATGAGCGACAGGAACGGAAGAATGAACAGACACCGGAGCACCTGACACAGCAGGAGAAGCAGATAGAGCAAGTCAGACCGAGCACTGGCCAAGTCCAAGAGACTCAGCCAATCCAAGCAGTGAAAGGAGACAGCTTGCTCACTACAGAGGAGCAGAGGCAGAACCAGGAAGTGCAGGGATGCCAAAACTAAAGCAACCTCCCCAGTGTCCCAGAGACTCTCCAACCATCCCACATAGGGGAAGAGAGCCGTGCACCACACTTCCTCGGGTCCCTGGCTGATCCACTCATCTATGAATCTGGCCGACCCTGACCTTTTTCATGCCTATGGCAGACTGGAAAACAGGACGTATATGGCCCAGCATCCACTGACAAAGAGTTCAGTCTTTACCTTAAATATCAGAGCCCCTTCCAGGGCATGGGGGTGGGGCGGGGCGACTGTCATTAGTGTAGCAGCTTTGCCTTCACTCCTAGTATTGTGACCAAATCTTTGAATATGTACGACAATATATAATAAACCCTGAAAACCCTGTGATCCTGTACTTACTTTAGCTTTTTCTTTTCTGTCTCACATCATATTCAACAGCCTCTGAAAAAGCACAAGAACAAGCTCAGTCCTGAATAGAGGCTTCTATTCTGGCTGTTGGGGGTGGCTTACCCATCCTAATTCAATAGCATCTTGCAGTAGTCAAACAGCTTCCGCTCTTCGCCCACAGCAGAGCATCGCTCTAGGCGTCTCAGTCTAACTCCCCGTAAGAGGATAGGAACCAGAAATATGCCTAGTGTGTTTAGAGGCTCCACTGGGTCTGGTAAATACTGCCACACTCTCCCTCCTGGCTTTTCAACTAAAAATTGTCTTCTTGCTTTCTGAGAGTCTTACAGCACGCTTTAAGAAGACTTTAGTAAAACAATAGCACATTGCACATAGTAGGGCGAGTAGGCAGTCTCTGGATGAGTCTCAGGAAAGAAAATGAGAGTGTCATTAAAGCAAGTAAACACTGAACCAGCGGTAAGTGCAGAGGAAAAGCGCCAAGTAGAGTAGACAAAGGCTGGTCATCAGTTACCACTGCTGCTACCCTCATGCTCTACCCTGCCTCCTTGACTCTTCTGTAGCCCTCACTGCCAACGTCCACATCAGAGCTCTAGGCGCTCTTCTCACTGGAGCCCTTAGCTTTCTTTCCATGCCTTTTACACCTCAGTCGCTTGCCTTTAGCCCTTTAACCATATTGTGTTGACATTGTGTCTCAAGTTATAGAAAGCTTTTTTACTACAGGCTTGAGGGGATGTCAGAGACATCCCCATTGAAGAGTCCATGGGCACTCAGGCTCAGTCAGCTGGACAGCATTCAGCAGCCTTTACATCCCTACTTCATCCCAATACTCACCTCTTTAGGAATCTTCTCTTCAGAGTAATAATAACAGGATTTAAATCCTTCCCATATATAACAATATCACCTAAGCTCAGGATGAGAATCCCTTTCATCTGAACTATTTCAATAGACTCCTAGGTGCTCTTGCCTATTCTCTGTCTCTGAGCACCTTGTTTTCTGTCCATCGCACAACTTTCCACTGAACCAGATCAGTGCTTGTGTTACCCTCATCAGTGGTTCCCATCAGTTAGGTTCTATCATGAGGCATGAGGCACAAACCCTGATAGCCATCCATTTGAGTAAAACAATCAGAAGTACCCATAGGAAACACAATGATTTTTGAAGTCTCAAGTCATCGTTGTTGGAATAGATTATTGTGGTTTGAACCATGCACATTTGCCACAGGCCTGTGTTTTGAGTATGCTTCCTAGCTGGTGGTTCTGTTTGGGAAGTAGGAAATGGACTGTGGAACCTTTAGAAGACTGGGGCCTAAATGGTAGAAGTAGGTAGTTAGGAGCAGACCTTTAAATATTATAGCCTTCCTCCTAGCTTTCTGCTCTCTGGACCACACCATGTGACCAGTCCCTCCACATCTCCCCCAACCCCTTTCCAAAGTCTCAGCTGTTTTACAACCCCTCACCTATTATGATGGACTGGAGCCAAGAGGGAAAGGGGGAATAGTAAAACCTATGGAACACAAAGGTTCCAACAGATGTGCCAAAACAACAAAAGAACACAAAATCGCCAAGCAGCGCTCCACTGTGACTCACCTCAAACTGATAACCTTTCAACTAAAGAAAGCAAAGTCAATAAGATAATTGAACTGCCAGAAAATACTTCAGGTCCGAATCAAGAACTCAATAAGCAGATGAATAAAGTAAGACGGTCAAATTGAGGACAAGAAAGTTACAAAGATAATTCAGTACCTAGACAGAAAGTTACTAAACAAAATAATCAATAACTTGGAGGAAACCTTTAAAAACATGGAGGGGAAATTTTAATAAGGACAGTGAGGTGCTTAAAAGGAACCAAACAAAATTTGGAAATGAAAGAATCAAGCTAATTAAAAACCACAAAGGGAAGCATCATCTGTAGCCAAGACCGTGCAGAATAATGAATTTCAGAACATAATGAAGGTCAGGATAGTAATGCATATAGATATATGAGATGAGGCCAAAATTAAGAATCACTAGTGTAGAAGAAGGAGTTAAGATAAAGTCTCGGGGATCACACAGCTTGTCCATTGTGATTATATATACAAATTTGTCAAAACTAGAGAAAAATATGTTTATCTAAATGGAAGAAGCATGTGGAAACCCAAATAGACATTATTAAAGGAAAACTGCTTTCTAGCACATCCAAGTCAAGACGTCAAAGATACAAAGAAACAATGATGAGAGCTGTAACCCAGTTCACACAAAAAGGCAGAAATGCCAGAACAATTTCAGGTCTTTTATCATCTGATCTAAAAAAGTCAGGAAAGCAAATAACTGTCAACCAAAATTGCTACCCTAAGAACCTTTATCTCAAAATTGAAAGTGAAATAAGAGTATTTTGACTCAATCAAAATCAAGTTAAGACAACTCAAGAAAACATAGCCAATATTGAAGGAAATTATTAATATGAGAGAAAAGGAAGAAAGAGTTTTATTCAAGAAAATGGAGGAAAGTATATACTTCATAAAAGGAACAGAAGAACAGATAAGTAATACATATAGATACATATGAAGAGATACATATATTGATACATATGTTTAGGAGAGAATCTGAGGAAACAACACAGAAAGCCACCAAACTCCTGATACTGCACAGGTGAAGAAAAGAATCAGCCAGAAGTACAACCAACAAAAACACAGGAAATAGCAAGTCCCTCCTAACAACAACCATAAAGGCAAAATCAAAAGATTCAGACTAGCCAACACAAAGCAAACAATAAGATTTAACTATCCATTGTCTTTAAGTGACCTACATAAATATAAAGATGGTATGGCAACATTCATAACTCATAAAGTATATTTCAAATCAAAATTCATCTGAAGAAACAAGTATGGCCATCACATATTAGTAAATAGAGCATTTATCAAAATGATGGAAATTTAACTACTGCAAATATTTATGTTCCAAATCTTGAGGCTCTAGATTCTATAAAATAAATCCTAAAGGGAATAAAAGGCCATTTAAGTTCTGATAAAATAATAATGGGGTCTTAAATATTCTTATTAATCTTTAGATGGATCTTTCAAATTAAAAAAAAAACAAGAAATTTCAGAGGTAAACAATACCATAGATCAACTGGATCAACAGAAATATAAAGAATAATCAAACCAGCAGACAAATAAAACATTCTTCCCAGCAGCACACATAACCTTTCTCCAAAATTAAGCATATTACATGCTGAAAAACCAAGAACACAAAAATATTGTCATTTCATGTATCTTACTTCACAGCAAATTAAAACTATAAATTAATAGCAAAAGAAGCCTCAGAGACAGCACAAATATTTGGAAATGAACAATACAGTTTTGAACAAAGAGTGGGACACTGATGAAGTAAAGGTTCCAGGAAAAACATCCTAGAATGAATGCAAATGGTAGCACTATCTGACAGAATCTCTGGGATATGGACAAGGCAATCCTAGGAGGAAATCTCAAATAAATAATCTAACAATGGGCCTCAAGATTCTAGAAAAAATGAAAGTCAAACCCAAATGCAGTAAAAAGAAATAAAATATAAAGCAGAAATTAATGAGAAATTAAAAGAACAAAATCTAAAAATCAGTCAAGAGCCAGTTCTTTGAAAAAGTTGATAAAACTGAAAAACAATAATAAAACCTATATTCAAACTAACAGAAAGATAAAAATGACACAACTCATTGAAATGGCCTGAAAAGGAGTTGTTACAACAAAACCCAATGACCTTCAGAATAAACAGAGATTACTCTGAAAGCATAGAGTCTCCGAACGACAAGAAATGGACAAGCTTCTAGTTTAAACACACCCACAACAAGCAATGAATTTAAATAATAACTGAACATCTCCCCTCAAAGAAAAGTCCAGAACTAGATGAACCCACTGTTGTCACTGGTGTTTGGATCTTGGGCATTCTCACTTTGGTGATATGAAATCTCAAAGGAGTTTTTATCTGCATATCATTAGTGGATGAAAATGTTGAACATTTACAAAAATGTTTCTAAGTCATGAGTATTCTGTCTTTTGAAAATTTACTGTTTAGATCTATGCCCCATTATTTAATTGAGTTGCTTTCTTGATTTTTGGTTTTTGTTTCATTTTGTTGTTTTGGGTTTAGTTCTTTATATATTTTGGATACTAGTGCTATGTCAGATGCATGGCTGGTAAAGGTGTTTTCTGTTTTGCAGGTTACCTCTTCATTTAAATACTAGTGTTTATTTGTTGTACATTAGTCTTTCATTTTCCTAGGGTCCCATTTGTTGATTGTTTCTTTTACTACCTGGGCTACCAGAGTCCTAGTCTCCCTTACCAGAGTCCTTATTTTCTCCCTTATCAGATCCAGGGTATTAGGCCTTATGTCAACGCCCTTCTTCTTATGGAGTTGAGCTTTGTGTCCAGTGAGAGATACGGAACCAGCTTTATCCCTCTCTATATTGCTATCCAGTTTGGACAGCATCATTTGTTAAAGATGCTCCAGCATAGATCTGCATCTCTTAACCTGCACAAAAATCAACTCTAAATGAATCAAAACCCATTCCTGCACCGAGGGACTACAGCTTTCTTAGCTTGGATTCTTATACTCTGCGTGCAGTGTTGTGACACACGAAACTCTGGCCAGTTTATCCAACTTGATCCACAAATTGAGCGAATCTCATGGTGCCTGATTTCAGGATAGTGACATGGAGGAGACATGGCAGACTACCCTGACTTCAGAGAGAAGATGGTAGGGACAGAAAGTGCTCTGTAGGTAATCTCCCTGTTCACAGTGAACAACATACTAACTGTAAATCTGTGATTATCTTGGACTTTCATCCCTATTTAATTCTGAACCGCCTGCATAAAGCCAGTTAACTTATAGCAAAACTGGAGCCAGGGTGCCACCTAAGGCTGAAATACTGGCAACAACAGGGAACAACCAATGTGTTGCCAG